GTTTTGAGAAATGATGTACAAATGCGCTTTACACAATTGATGTGTGTATGGATTGGGATAACAGTTGTATGAGCCCCTAATAAAATGTTAAAAAAAACCAAAAAACAAAAAAAACAGGATCGGTCAGCAGCTCAGGCAATGCAGTATGAATGAGAGAGCATTTCAGTATTTCTTTTTTTTTTAGATTCGGTACTTTTGGCGAGCTCATCTTTAAATTCTTTTCTTCAGCATTTCCTAAGTGTAAAGTTTATCACTGTAAATTCAGACATCATATAGACCCCTATCGGTGCTGCTTCTACTTACAACTTACGTAGAGATTCTGCTCCACTTATCTAATCAGCATGGTGAATAATGATGATCTTACACTGCTTGCGACATAGCCAAACCGAGGAAAGGATGGCTGTTTAGAATCACGGTAACTTTCCAAAAAATTGCGTTCTATTTTGACAAACCAAATTTGAATTCATTGAAACATGTGTTTGAGGGGAAATGTTTGTGTATGTGGGAATATGGAATTAAAAGATAGGGAATTTTTTCATGAACTTCATGATGCCCTCAAATATTCTTAAGTGAATATGCTTGAAGAACATACCAAACCAAAAACCAAACACTGCCATTGCGTCCATTTCTACTCAATAGTGACCCTGTATAGGGTTTTTGAGGCTATAAATATTTACAGGAACCGAAAGCCTCATCTTTCTCCAAGGAGTGCCTGGTGGGTTTGAACTGCTGACTTTGCAGTTTGTAGCCCGATGAGGAATCCACCATGCCACCAGAGCTCCATTGAATTTCATAAAACACACACACAAAAAACCAGAGTCACTGCCATAGAGTCAGTTTTGACTCATAGCAACCCTATAGGACAGAGTAGAGTTGCCTGTATGAATTTCTAAAACTATAAACTCTTTACCAGAGTAATAAGCTTCATCTTTCTCCTTTGAAATGGCTGCTGGTTTTGAACTGCTGATTTGCTATTAGCAGCCCAGTGCATAACCTACTACACCTGACACCAAGGCTACAGAGCAGTTCATCAATAGTTTAATAATAGTTCAGTAGCTTAATAGTTTAGTTATACTTGTACTTAAGATGGTTGCCAGCACAATACATTCACTTCTTAACTTACTGACATGATTAGGTTCCAAAGACCAGCTCATTATGCCAAAATGAAGGGTGATCACATCAGTTGACAGAGAATGACTTATCTTTATATTACTGGCAGATTACATTAGTACATTGCTGTGAAACCACTAAGAACTATGACCCAGCCAAGTTGACACATTACCTTAACCATTGTAGCCAGCCATACTGTCACCTCATCCCTCGGTGTTTGTTACTGCCAGATGTATGAAGAGCCTTCAAAAACTTTGTGGACAAATTCCATTGTCTTTATTTTTTTATACTGAAAGGAAAACAAGGTTTATTTTAAATTTGTTGGTCCTACACCTCTACCACAAGAAACGTCTATACTACTACTCATATCTTAGAATCTTTGCCGTCTCCTAGGTAAGTCTGTATATTCATAGTAAATCTGTGTATTAATCAGAATAACGTGTGGAGTACCAGCCTCCACAATCAAATGGATCCAAGGGGTGTTTGTGTAATTGAAGGGTAAAATTAAAGAGACATCAGACAAGATAAAGCATTCAATTGCTCACCTCCCGGACAGCCAGCCAAGGATTACATACACTCAGGCGGCGTGCAAGCCCTCCTAATTACAGGTAACCACATATGTAACAGGAAGGGGTTGTACAGTAGACATAAGCGTAACAGGAGGGGCACGAGCTAGGGGTATACACGCAATAGGAAGGGGAGGCACTAGGGGTATACATGTGACAGGAAGGCATACACGTAACAGGGCAGCTTAACTTGGTCCTCCCTGAGTGGTCTATGGGCTTTCCAGGAGAACCATCCATTATCCTTACCAGAAGGGAGTGGACCCTACTTAGGGTGGGACAGACTATAGGGTCTGATTGCTCTAGATGGCTGATAACCTTCAGGTAGATAACCTTTAAGCAGTTGACCTCCGAGTGTATAGTTCAGTGCCTTAGGTTTGGCATATATTATGGGGGGATGACATGGGGAATAACTTTACTGTTTCCCACAGACATGCGTATTGTAATTTTTAAGGCAGATGGTAAACGCCTCCTATATGTCTGCTGTTTTCCTCTTATCATGGGCCAAACGCTGGTCATAAACCCTTCATTGTTTGAGACTTAGGTGATAAGAAACACATGAACAGCAAAGCTGCATCATCACTGAGATGTGATCCAAGATGTTGATTCCAGTAATCTTTTAATACATTCTTTTCTAAAAATTTTATAAAGATACTTCATATATCGTTAATGCACAGAATGATCGGATAGTAGATTTTTATTACCCTAAATGCAAGAAGTTGGATAACAGTCAATAATAGAGTGTATCTCCTGTGTGTCCCATACATTGGTACTAACTTTGTGCAGTAGGTAGTTATTATCTTCACTTCACCGAAGAAGAACCTGGTCCACTGAGAAATTAGTCACTGACCGCCATCGAGTCAGTTGTGACTCCTAGTGACCCTACAGGACAGAGTAGAGCTTCCCTTGTGGGTTTCCAAGTTTGTAACTCTTTTTTTTTTAAATAAGTATAACTTTATGGGAGTAGGAAGCATCTTCTTTCTCCTAGCTGAGACCTTCAGTGACTCACTAAGTAGCAGAACCAAGATTGGAACCTACGGAGGCTATTCCTGGATTTGTACCATGGCATTGTTGCTCCAGAGTCTTGCCCTTAGCCACTGTACTGCTTCTCAAGATTTTAAGAAATTTTTAAAAATTCCCTATCATGGAGTTTTATTTACCAAAGGCACAATTGGCTCTTTTTCTTTTAGGAACTTCATGTGTGTGCTTACCAGGATTTCAGATGATCTCTAATAATGGAGGAGCCACCATTAACTGTAAAAAGTGCCCAGAAAACATGGTATGGAATATTAATTTTTAAATCACTTTACTGTTAAAAAAAAGAAGTAAATGTCTTTATACAGAGTTTCATTGTGTCAGCATTTTGGTTGGAGACTGACTTTTGGTTGGTACAGAATAAGTGTAATGTCTTATACCTACTGATTATTAATTTCCCATCATAATTGATGTTAGCAACATGTGACAAGTACCGATTGCATCAGTAGTTTAATTTTATTGCTGTTGGTTAGTATTCTGTTGTATTCTTGGAAAATTAGTAAATCAAAGGTTACTATATTTAATAATGCCCAATTAATAAAAATATATTCCCTAATAATTAGGGAAATAGAAACTTGTGTGTACCAATTCTGGGTTTCATAGGAATGTTGTTGGGTTTTTTTTCCTCACTGTATAAGCAAACATTGAATAAAGTTATTAGTTGTCCTAATATATAATTACTACTATAATTTTTATTTCATTTTGGAAAATTTGATCCTAGTTGTGATAAAAAGCTGCTAATGAAATGTAGTTGTTGTTGATGGCATAGTAGGTAAGTGCATTGAGGTGCTGTCCACAAGATCAGCAGTTCAAACCCACTAGCTGCTTCACCGGAGAAAGATGAAGCATTCTACTCCTGTAAAGATTTAGTCTCGAAAACCCACAGGGGCGGTTGTGCTCTGTCCCATAGAGTCGCTGTGAGTCAGAGTTTACCCCATGGCAGTGAGCTTTCAGGGTTAATGTGAAATGGAACCAAACCAGGTTTATTTTTTCAGTGACACTGTGCTATCATTGTTTTTAGATAATTCTATCTAAAACATACTGTAAAATACAGAAACATTTCTTGATCTTTCCTTGTTTTTGTAACCAAAATCTTTTTTTAAGGCTATCCCTATGCTTGTAATATATTTATTATGTTTCAGGCTTTTCTTAGTAGGTTCAATTTCAAATATTGCTATATTTTATCAGAGAATTTTATTACTCTAAAATGTCAGAGGAGGAAAGGACATAGTCTCCTATTTTAATTTTTAAAAAATCATTTTATTGGGGCTCATACAATTCATCACAATACATAGATCAATTGTGTAAAGCACACCTATACATTTGTTGCCCTCATCATTCCCAAAATTCGCTTTCCTCTTGGGTTCCCGGCCTATTTTAATTTTTAACGTTGTAGATAAATGTCATAAATTTCACCCATTTTGAACCAAAAACTAATGTGTGAAAGCTAATTTTTTGAATTTTTAAAAATGACAATAGTCATAATAGAGACAACTATTAACTGGCTAATTGTTAATTGAATTTTTTAAATTAAATCTTTTTGAATAATGCATTTTATCATCTTAAACAGAAAATCATGAAAGTACAAAAGTAAAGATTTATTTGAATGGAAAATCATGAAGAAGGATCTGTAACCCAAAAATAGTCTTTTAAAAGTTGCACTATCCAGCTTAATTTAAAATCTAAGCACAGATTAACTGTCCAGGGAGTATTTACGTCCCTCGCTTATATATGATTTATTTGTATGTACCCTAAATTTCATAGTCTGTGGTTTTGTGAAGTTACATTATCAAATTAGAGTTAAAGTTCACTAAGAAGAGAATTTTTTTCTTAATTAATTTAGAAAGGTGTTACTGAAGACGGTTGGAACTGTATATCTTGCCCTCATGGTTTAACTGCAGAAGGAAAATGCCAATGCCCCACTGGCCATATTTTAGGTAAGAAGTGGTTTATTATATATTAGTGATGGATTTTCATTTTTGTGTGTTTTTATAAGGACATTTGTTGAAGCTGTTTGGTGATTATTGTTGACCAAAACTGAATGATGTTTAAAGTATCAGGAGACATAGGGAAGAGAATAAAAAACGCTACTGACTAAAAACATAGTTTTTTAACAATAGAGGAATAGATGAATATGTCCTCACCATGTTAACATGATAAAACATGTTTAGACTCAAAAATCAACATGGTGCCTCATGTTAAAGGGGTGAGCATTTCTATTAAATGTCAGAATCCTATGAAAGTCAGAGCAAGAAGTAAGTGATAGAGTCATTGGAAAGGAAGAGATGAAAACATTATTTGCAAGTGCTTTCATTTTATATTTAGAAAATACATGGCAATCACTAAAAATTACAAGGAATAATGATTCCTAGATATAAAATTTATGTTTTTAAGAAAGTAGTCTTCCAGTCTTCAAACAGCAACATTTTAGAAAATGTGATGGGAGAAAAGAAGTTATCCCCAGTAGCAGCAATAATAAAAATTGGGCTTCATAAGCTGTAGAAATGTGAGAGATAAATTAATGCTACCGAGGGACACAATGATAGGCCTTCGTGAATGAAAGTACATTCTGCAGCCTTGGTTGGAAAGATTAAACGGCGTAAAAGTGTCTGCTTTCCCAGTGGTGTCAACTACCTTTGAGCCTACCCAGACTCACGATGAACCCAGGTATGGAGAGATGAATGCTGCCTGGCCCTGCACTCTTCCTATGATTGCAGCCCATGGGGTGATGGCCTTTGGCTGGCTTTTGGCTTTTTGGTCAGAAATCAAGCCGGGTCTCCTTCATGGAAGGCAAAAATTCTACCACTGAGCACACCACTGCCCTCAGCCCTCCCAGTATCAGTCTATAAATTAGTTGTTGGGGGGCTATCAAGTCAGGTTCCAACACACACTGAGTGACCATACGGACAGCAGAATTGCCCCATATGGCTTCCTACATTGTAATCTTTATAAAAGCAGGTAGTCAGAGCTTTTCTGACGCCCGAGCTGCTAGTGGGTTCAGACCGCTGGTCTTTCAGTTAGCAGCCTTGTTTTACTTTAAGAACAAGATGAAAAACTGATTTTTAAAAATGCATACAATACATTTATAAAGTTCACAAAGAAAAACAATTTAAACATGAAATGAATGCTCTTGTAGCTTGACTTGTTTTCCAGGTAACAAATAGTATACTGTTATGTTTAACACCACTTCATTCTGTTTCATCTAAAACCCAAACCAACACACAAACCTACGCCTTACCATTGAGGTGAGTCTTGTACATAGCCTGTAGGACAGGGTAGAACCACCCATCAGGTGTCCAAGGCTCAAAATCTCTGTGGAAGCAGACGGCTACATCTTTCTCCCCTAGAGCCGGTGGTGGGTGTGCGCCAGGACCTTTACCTTTGCATCTAGGCACTGAAGCCACTCTGTCACTAGGACTCTTTAATCCTAAAAAAAGAGAGAATTTTCTATATCATGGACACAGTGTTATTTTGCTATTTAAAATATTCAGGTGGTTTTCGAAGAAACAATGCTTCAATGCATAGTCTTTGGTACAAATGTGCAAGTACTTCTGCAACTACAAATGAACATTTATGTTAATAGGTTATATGAATTTAAAAGTTTCCCATAAGCACTTAAGAGCCCTCCCAAGTTGCAGAGCAAAACTTACCAGCAGTTTAAAATATTTGCTTCCTGGCATGATCAGACTTTTATTATTAGTTTTTAAATTGACCGTGCAAGAAATGATATCTTATATATTAACTTGTGTTTTTTTGGCATGAAGCAATTATTTTTCCTTCTATTTATTGGAGATTTCTGATTATTTCTTTGTGGTTATTAAAAGTGAATTGAAAGGATTCAATGGAACAGGCTTTACATTCCTACAGTTTGTCTTGAGCTGTTGACATACTTCTTATGCAAGTTAAGTGTTTTGAGAATTATGTAGAAGATACTAGCAAACAGTTTTATGAGCCATTTGCTGAGTACGTATGTAGGTGTTCATATGATGACCATTCAATACATCTTGATTTTTGTTCCTAAATTATTTAGTGGAAAGAGATATTAATGGAACATTGTCGTCTCAAGCAACTTGTACACTTTGTGATGGGAATGAAAACTCTTTTACGATAGCAAATGCTCTGGGAAACAGGTAAGTAGTGTGGTGAGAGCTATTCGGTAGTATTCCCTGATAGTTATGTAGCATCTTTACTATTTTCATAAAGTATTGCCTATTGACAGATAAGGAAACTGTGGCCCATATCATAAGATAGAGTTCAAATTTGATTTAGTTGCTTATTTATTATTTGGCCTTGGATAGGCAGTGAGTCATCATCTCCTCTTGTTTATCATGGGAATGTAATACTATCTCAGGAGCCCTGAGAGTGCAGAGGTTCAAACTCACCAGCTGCTCTGTGGGGGAAAGCGGTGGCAGTCTGCTTGTCCTAGAGGACAGCCTAGAACCCCGCAGGGTCGTTCTTCTCGGCCTGTACGTTCCCGTGAGTTGGAGTCAACACAGTGGCTGTGGGCCAGAGGCTGTCATTGACTCCTCAGGAAGTTCTTGGCTTAGTGCTCAATAAATGTGACTTTTTGGTTATTATAGAATTTTTATATAATCTATAAAATATCATAGTATATAATTCTAAATTTTATAGAGCATACTTTCTATATGGTAGATGTGGTATAAAGCTTTTATGTCTTATAATGTTACATGACCATTAACAATTCCTTGGTGCTGAGGTTGACTTACTTGTGTGTCATTGTCAGTGGCAGATTCTTATTTCCCTTTTCTTTTGGAAATGGGTTGCTGTTTTTCTTCTTTTCTTTCTGAGGTACCGCTGGGTAAACTTGAAATGCCAACTTTTTGACCAACAGACAAGCACAATAACCGTTTGTGCCCCCCAGGGACTCGGTAAATTTTGAAACATAGGAGATGTGCCAGGCTCATTGTTTAGTACTTTTATGCATGAATTCATTTCATTCTCTTAGCAACTCTAAGACGCATCCTCTTTTGTGACTAGTGACCCCTTACTCTGATTTATAGCCCTCTTCTCTGTCATTGCCTGGGTTGGTTTATCTTTTCTCTCAAGTTAACCTGGGTGGAAGACTGCACTGGATCCTCACAATTGTCCCTTTAAAGCTTCTCAAGTGTAGTTTGTGAGTTCTGTGCCTGCCTGGGCCTTCTATCTGCAGCTCTATCTTGCAAGGAATGAATACCAATACGAACTTATTGATGTTCAATGCCCTCTCTGTATCTCATTTATTTTTATTATCCTAGAATAATAAAACATCAATAGTAGACTTTATTAATGATAGGATAGGTTTTGTGAAGGGATAGAGGTGTATCTTTCCACTTGTGTGATTTTATTTTTGCTTGGGGCAGATAAAGAAGGTATATTTGATATTAATTAGTCATAAAAATGGATTGGTTTTAATTTTTATGAGCTTACTGGGCTATTTTGCTAATTGAGCAACTTAATCATATTAATTTTTAAATAGTACTAATGTGCTTTCCATGTGGTTACAAAAGTGTATAAAAGCCCATTGCCATTGAATTGATTCTGTGTTGACTCTGACTCAGTGATACTCGCTATGATTGGACCGTGTGGGACTGCTTCATAGGGTTTCCTAGGCTGTAATCTGTACAGAAGCAGTCGGCCACATCTTTCTCCCACAGAGCAGCTGGTGGTTTCACGGCAACCTTTTGTTAGCAACCAAGCGCTTAGCTCCTATGCCACCAGGGCTCCATTACAAAATAATACTATTACTGGTTAAATATACCTACTGATCCCTGATCTCATCGCATAAAAAGAGATGTGAAGCTATTCAAATCAGTGTTAACCTTTTGTTTGCTTAATTTATTTATTTAGCTGAATTAATCTAATCCAGCATTTAGGAAAACAAATTCATGATTCATTTATATAATTAAATTTTGAAACATTATTTTTGTTTTATTGAACAGGTGTGTTCGATGCGAGCCAACGTTTGTTAATATCAGCCGGTCTTGTGCATGTTCGCAACCTAACATTTTAGTAAGACTAATTTAGTTGATATAGTATATATTTTTTAATTAAAGTGCTTATGCCTTTCCATAAACTTGATTTTTTTTTCTTATTTATTTATAAAGACAGGGGGATTATGTTTTAGCAGCACAGGGAGTTTTCCTCCACGCATAATTTCAACTGCACGTTATGGAGAGCTTGTGAGTATATTTCCATGTTTTTGTTCAATAAAGATCTTCCTTTTATTCTTCCTTTTGTTATTACTTTGAAATTAAAATGAGTGTTTATGGGTAAATCACTTGAAAACATAAATGACCAATCTAGAAAACATCAGGCTACCAGCATTATCATTTATAAGTACAATGTTCTTTTCTGTACCTTTGCCTGTTCCTTTGGCAGTGAATCAGAATGTTGAAAGCCGGAAAGTCCTGAAAGGATGTAGTATGAAGTAGATAAGAGCAGCATAGAGCCCCAGGGGGATGGTTTATAATGCCCTCTGTCATAACATGATAATGGTATCTCTCAAGTGAACCAGAGACATAGATAAACCATAGTTACATGAATGAATTTGGGGCTGGCACTTAATCCTTACCCCAAGCTAAGAACAATTAGCCCTATTCTCTGCTTGCCCTCATGAAGACATCACTTAAGACAACGGTGCTGTAGCAAAGTGTGGTGAGGAAATCAGATGTGTCCCCCCCCCACCCCACCCCAAGAATACTGTCTGGGATCTTAAAGGCTTGTCTTTAAACAAGCAGCCTTCTAAGTGAGGAGTCAGCTAAGGCCACGTGGAAGAAGCACACCACTATGTATGGTCCATGGATTATAAATAATGAAATTTAAATCCATTCCCAATGGAGAGAATGGCCCCAGAGCTAAAATTGTTAGCACCCAGTTTTCAGAAGGCTGTATGACAGGGAAACCCAAAATCCATTTGCAGGGTCCCCACAGAGATTAAGTCACCAGTGAGTCCCCTCTGACCATAGTTCAGGGATGCGAATAGCCTTGCTGTCAGTATTATAAAGTCAATTATGACAGATGTAGTTAGGTTAAAATTTAACACCTAATCCTTTGATCTTTCCCTTTAGCCCATTTAAAAATTGTTTCAGTTTTTAATATTTTCACCTTTTCCATTGAAGTGTGTCTGTGTTTTCTGTTTGCTTGTTTCTAATTTTTGTTTTGTCTGATTTTCTGTATATGAAATCTAGGACAGGGAAATCTGTAGAGACAGTAACTGGATTAATAATTACCTAGGGCTTAGCAGGAAAGGATGGGGGGAAAGGGAGCGCTAATGACGAGTATGAGAAGAAAATGTTCTGAATTTGATTGTGGTGACAATGGCAAAACTCTTAATATGATTGAATGATTAAATTGTATGCGACATTAAAAAAACAAAGCAACACATATTCTAGGTTTGAAATCCTAGATGTGCCCGTTACTAGTTTTATATATTTGGACTTTGTGAAAGATATATAACATTTCTAAATGTCAGTTTAATTTTTATAGGTTAAACATAACAACCATTCTGTCTACTCCACAGTGCCTGTGCCTGGTAAACATTGGAGAAACGAGGGCTGCTAATATCTTGTCTTGTTCCTTACTTTATATAGGGGGACATTTGAGATCTTTTAGAATTAGAGCTTGGACATCCAGTGCTAGAAATGACAGTGTAACTTGTAAAATGAAGTCAATGAATTGAAATGTATACTAGTTTCCTGTCGCTGCCATAACAGATCACTATAAAACAGCAGAAACGTAATCTCTCACCGTTCCTGTGGCTACAAGTCTGAATCAGGGTGTTGGCAGGAGACCCATGTTTCCTCTGAAGGGCCCAGGGGAGAATCCTTTCTTGTCCTTTCCACCTTCCAGTGGCTTCCAGGGTTCCTTGTCTTGTGGCTGTGGGTCCACCTCTATCTCCACATGACCTTTATTTCTCTCTCTCTTATCTTCTTCCCCTCTTGTATTATTTTCTCAATGTTAGTAGAAAAATTAACAGGAAGCTTGTAAAAGTTAACTCCTAAAAATGAGGACCTAATGTCGGGGGTTTAAGTGGAGAGAAAATGTTTTGAGAATGATGTACAAATGCGCTTTACACAATTGATGTGTGTATGGATTGCGATAACAGTTGTATGAGCCCCTAATAAAATGTTTAAAAACAAGTTAACTCCTAGCACCTTAGAGTGTGACCTTATTTGAAAATGGTGTCTGTGTAGATGTAATGAAGTGAATGATCTCAAGAAGAAATCACCCTTGATTAACTTGGTGAGCCCTAAACCCTCACCTTATTTTTGTTGCTTTTGTTTGTAATACAGTAACTGATACAGGTGAGAATGAATTCTCCCAGTTATTTTTTTCTACTAACATTGAGAAAAGAACATTATTTTTAAAATTAATGTACTACTGTGTTTAAGGTGGGAGTTTGCACAGCAAATTCGGTTGCCCTTGAACGAGTCTGCAGGAGTTATCCTGTGTGTCAGAAGCTGTTCTTATTCTCGCTCACTCTGTTCTGCTTGTACCATCCCCAGACCTTTACTTTCCCTGCCCCTTTCTCATCTTTCCTGCAGAGTAATTTTTGGCCATTTGGTCTCCACTAGAGGGTTTTTCTTAAAGAATCACTTTAGTCTTAACCCGTTCACCAATATTATATTAATAGCTCTCAAACTGTGGAGTTAAGGAATTAACATGTTAATCTAAAACTGAGACATCTTTTTGTTGATAGGGCATGCCGTTAGCTTCAGACTGGTTTGCAAAGAACTTGCAGTCATCAGCAGCTGCTTGTTGGGTAAGGTTAACATTTTTACAATATTTTATTTCATTTTGAAGGATAGTGGTACCATTTCCCCCAAATTATAAAAGTTTTCTTTCTAACTAAATAAGAGTCTCCTTATACTCTTTAAGAATAATAAATTTTATAAGTGAGTTGAAAGAAACTATAAAAATTTTATTCATTATACACACATTGGATATATGCAAGTTTATTGCCACTAGAATTGTCAGTGGAAACTGAGTCATATAATTACTTAATATGTGTTGATTGAATACCTACTGTATGCCAAGCTTTGTTCTCAAATCAGGTTTTGTATTTCAGAAAAGAACAAAATCCCTCGTGGAATTATTCTAAGTAATTATCAGGTAGTGCTAAATGCTATGAAGATAGTAAATCAGGAGCTTAGAGAATGGGAGGGTGCGGTTTTAAATAAGATGGTCAGGAACAGGCAGCTTTGGTAACGTATGGTACTAGCACCCCGCTGCTAACCATAGGTCAACAGTTTGACCAGCAACCAATCCAAGAGAGAAGTATGTGGCGGTCAGCCTTCATAAAGATTTACAGCCTAGAAAATCCTGTGGTGGCAGTTCTTCTATTCAGTCTTACAGGGTCACTCGGAGCCAGAACCACATTGATGGCAGTGGGATTGGTTGGTTTGGGATCAGGAACAGCCTCTCTGAAAGGGTGAGAAAGAGCCATGTCTATATTTAGAGGAAGCATATGGCATCACACACAGCAAGACCAGAGGTTTCAGGCGTTTGCTGCATTGTTCATGATTAAGGAAGAGCTAGGAGTCACCGTGGTGTTTTGGGTGGCACCTTAGGCTGCAAAGTCAGCAGTTTGAAATTGCCAGCTTCTCCTAGGGAGGAAGAGGAAGCTTTCTGCTCCCACACAGATTCAGTCTCGGAAACCCACAGGCTCAGTTGTGCTCTGTGCCACAGGGCCACGCCACTGTGAGTCAGTAAGCTCAGTGGCAGTGAGTTTGAGGATCCTTTCTGGAGGAGACTACAGTGGCTGGAGCCAATTTGCGGGAAAGAGGATAAGAGATGTGGTCAGAGAGGTAGAGGGCTGAGGGGACCATTGTTTACATTGGTTTTGAAAGGATCCCTGTACGTGGAGAGTAGAGATTAAGTCGGGGACAGAAGCAAGGGAACTAGCTGGTAGGGTATTACAACAGTCCCAAACGTGAAGTAGGAGCAGCTTAGACCAGTTTGGTACCAGGGGAAAGGAAAAGTGTTTAGCTTTTGGATATTCCTTAAAAATTGACCTGATGAGATTTGCTGATGATTTGATTACAGTGAGGGAGAGAAAGAAGATATTGCCTATGTTATTTTGATGTAAATAGTTGGAAATTTTAGAGTTGTCGTTTCTTGAGATAGGGAAATCTGAGAAAGGAAAAGTGTGAGGGGCAAAATCAACAAAGGGTCTTACTTTGTTGTTCATGTAACCAATTAAACAAAACGGAGTAGATATATAATATAGAATCTAATGTACAAATCAATTCTTTCTTTCAAATATAAACATTCTATTTTGTTTGTGTGTTTTTTAATGTCTTGTTTTTACTTAGTTCTTTCACTAGCTTGGCTTTAGATTTTACCATGAAATTTACATTAAAATTTTTGCACATTATTCCACTGCCATGTAAAAAGTTTTTTTTTCTCAGTTAAAGTAGAAGAAAATGTAGAAAGGCAAAAGAATTTATGAAAAATAATTGCATCTGCTTCACATTTACTTTGACTATCTCATGATCTGACCTTTCACATTTGTGAAAAGTGAAAAAAATCTCTCTCAGTATTTTGCACATTAACAGCTATAGTGTGGCAGTAATGACTGCTGAGGTGTAAGGTGAGAATAATATTGGCCGTAGTGGTGAAGGCTGTGTGTTGACTTTGCTGGGTCATGGGTCTCAGCGATTTTGGCAGCTATTAATGATACGGACATTCTCCATTTTGTGACCTAAGGTGGTCATCCTCCATTTTAACTGAATGCCTATTTTCTTATAACCACATAGTCACTGATGCCAGGGAGTGAGGAGCGGTATTGTATAATGTGTAATAATTGTATATTGTATAATAAGTCAAATGAAAGCTTTCAAGTGTTTCATATCCACTTCCTTAGTCTCGTAAGGCCTATGTTACTCTCATTTGCCATTGTTCTCTTACAGGTGTATGCCAACCTAACATCTTGTCAAGCTCTAGGAAACATGTGTGTGATGAACATGAATTCTTACGATGCTGCCACTTTTGATGCTTGTCGACTGTTTCAGTTTGTCTTTGAAAACACTGCTGGATTAAGGACTGTTCATTCGGTTTCATTTTGGTAAGGGCATTTTGATTGGTGAAATATTTTGGCTGAATTCAGTCCAAATGTTACTTTCACGATGAGAAGTACTGCTTCCTCGTGGTATCGTTAAAGCAGTGATACTTGTTTCCAGGAAACAGAATCTGCCATGGCTGTTCTATGGAGACCAGCCAGGATTAGCACCGCAAGTCCTCAGCACTACTCCACTTCCTACAAATTTCAGTTTTAAAGGGCAAGACCAGGTAAATGTCACTCTATTATTAAAGAAAAAACGACACTTGATTAATAATTTTTTTTTAAATAGTAAGAAAACTTCTTGGTGTAATTCTTAGTTCTTTAGATTATTGCCTGTTAACCTAAATGTAAATAATCTGCTGCTTAAAGGATCTGAACATTGTAGAGTTTATTTGTCTTGCTTGGGTACATAATTATGCAATCACAAAAGAAAGTAGTGCTCACGAGGCTGCCAAATGTTAGCCTTTCGTTACCGTGTGCCAAGCAATCTATGCTTCTGAATCTCCACATGTTTAAGTGCCTTCCAAGAGGATTGGAGGTCCTTAACGGATCTCAGCAGTTCATAGGTTCAACACTCACTTGCAGCTTTTCCACCCTCTACACCAGCCGTCCTCAACCCGTGGGTGGAGACCCCTTTGGGGGTAGAATTACCCTTTTATAGGGGTCGCCTACAACCATCGGAAAACACATATTTTCGATGGTCTTAGGAACTGTGACACCGCTCTTTTATCCTTCTCCAGGTGGGTCCACCCACATGCAGATATGCCCACATACGAGTACCCAGGCTACACCATTCTTCACGACAAAATTTCATTTATTTGTAATTAGAAATAAATATCTCACAATATATAATTACAAAATAAATATCTCACAATATATAATTACAAAAACAAAAAAAATTGTTTTTCTGATTAACACAATGCTTTAATTATGTTCAATTTGTAGCAATGAAAATACATCTTGCATATCATATATTTACATCATGATTCATAACAATATCAAAATTGCAGTTATGAAGTAGCAATGAAAGTAATTTTATGGTGGGGGTCACCACAACATGAGGAACTGTATTAAAGTTTCACGGCATTAGGAAGGTTGAGAACCACTGCTCTAGACTGAAGGAGTAAGATTATTCCTCCTGACTTCCTCCTCTACCATTTGTTAAGTTCAAAAGGAGGTTCTCTGTCAATAGCAGAGAAACTGAAATAGTTTGTTTTTTTGTGTGTATGAAATCTAGACCAGTTCTCTTACACGTGTTTGATCATAGAAATAGATTCATTTGGTTTCCAAATAAAGATACTTGAATTTAATATTTGATCCCTGCCAAAAGAAAAGATGAGTCAACAAGGAAAATTTCCTAATAGAATATTTAGGTGCTTTTAGGGTCACTGGAAGTTGGAACTAATTTGATGGCATTTAACAACAATAATAATGATCATTATTTTATTTTTGTTTTTCTTAATCAGAATACAAAACTGAATTTTGTTGCTATGTCTTATGATGTGAGTGGAAATTTTCTCAAGTGGCAAACTTTAGAAGGAGGTATTTTACAGGTAAGCATGATTCTCACTGAAAAATAAGTAATGAGTCTTGTTTTGAGGCAAAAAGAGAGAGAAAACTAGTACCGTATATACTTGAGTATAAGCTGACCCGATTATCAGCTGAGGCACCTAATTTTTTTTCCAATTTATTTTTAACTTTTATTATGCACTGGGTGAAAGTGTACAGAGCATATCAGTTTTCCGTTCAACAATTCATACCTATTCTATTTCATCTCATTGGTTGGAATCCCCACAATGTAATATTGTTTATCCTCACGTCTTTCTTTTCTTTTTTTTTCAAATCATTTTATTAGGGGCTCATACAACTCTTATCACAATCCATACACACATCAATTGTGTAAAGTGCATTTGTACATTCATTGCCCGCATCATTCTCAAAACATTTCCTCTCCACTTAAGCCCCTGGCATTAGGTCCTCATTTTTCCTCTCCCTCCCCACTCTCCCCTCCCTCATGAGCCCTTGATAATTTATAAATTGTTATTTTGTCATATCTTGCCCTGTCCAATGTCTCCCTTCACCCACTTTTCTGTTGTCCGTCCCCCAGGGAGGAGGTCACATATAGTTCCTTGTAATCAGTTCCCTCTTTCTACCTACTCTCCCTCTACCCTCCCTGTATCGCCACTCACACCACTGGTCCTGTAGGGATCATCCACCCTTGGTTCCCTGTATTTCCAGTTCCTATCTATACCAGTGTACATCCTCTGGTCTAGCCAGACTTGCAAGGTAGAATTCGTGTCATGATAGTGGGAGTAGGGAGGAAACATTTGGGAACTAGAGGAAAGTTGTATTTTTCATTGTTGTTACATCTCACCCTGACTGGCTCATCTCCTCCACGAGACCCATCTGCAAAGGGATCTCCAGTGGAGGCACCTAATTTTACCACAAAAAACCTGCATTAAAAATGTGCTGAACCCAGCTATCAAAAGATACAGTGTCTGGGGTCTTAAAGGCTTGAAGATAAACAAGCGGCCATGTAGCTCAGAAGCATCAAAGCCCACATGGAAGCAGCACACCAGCCTGTATGATCATGAGGTATCAATGGGATCAGGTGTCAGGCATCTAAGAACCAGAACAAAACCATACCTAAGGTGACTGGGTCTGGGGGCCATGGAGTGGAGACTCAATGCCCATCTGTAGACAGTTGGACATCCCCTCACAGAAGGGTCACAGGGAAGAGATGAGCCAGTCAGGGTGCAGTACAGCACTGATGAAACACACAACTTTCCTCTAGTTCTTTGGTGCTTCCTTCGCCCCACTATCATGACCTCAATTCTACCTTACAAAGCTGATTAGATCAGATCATGCACACTGTTACAGATAAGAGCCCAAAATACAGGGATTCCAGGATAGATAAACCCCTCAGGGCCAACAGAGAGAGCAGAGATACCAGGAGGATTAGGGGAGGGTGGGAGGAGAAAGTAGGGGTCGATCACAACGATCAATCTATAACTCCCTCCAGGGGGACGAATAACGGAAAAGTGGGTGAGGGCCGAAGGAGGATGATGTAAGACATAGAAATAATAATCTATAACTTATCAAGGGTTCGTGAGGGAGGGTGGGGGAGGAAGGGGGAAGAAATGGGGAGCTGATATCATGGGCTCAAGTGGGAAGAGAATGCTTTGAAAATGACGATGGCGGCATATGCGCAACGGTGCTTGACGCACTGGATGAATGTATGGATGGTGATAAGAGAGATAAGAGCCCCTAATAAAAGTATTTTTTTTAATGTGCTGAGAAACTCAGCTTATACACGAGTATATACAGTAGTTGATTCCTTGAATAGAGCATCAATTTGCGTGCTACAGTTGATTTGTTTCTTGTGCTTTAAACTGGAATTTCTTTGAAACTGCTTTAAATTGTAACTAACAAAAATGCTCTATTCATTTCATTCTGTTACATTAAGTAAGAATTATATAAAGCATATATCCCTTTTGGGGTTTGAGAACTCTTGCCTGTATGCAAGGAAAACATTTTTATATTCCTGTGGAAGATATTTTCAGTTGTATTCTTTTGCTGCAGCTTTGTCCAGACACAGATGTAAGATTAAATGCTGCTTATTCTTTTGGAACAACCTACCAACAAAATGTAAGTGTGAACTATACTACACAGTCTGTATTTTTACTTTATTTGGAAAAAATATCAACTAATCAAAATTTTTCAATGTTTGCAATTGGAAATATTTTAATGGGATAATTTTTATTACTTAGGTGCAGAACAAACTTAAGCAGAGATCATCATAACTTAATCACATGAAGCATATACTTGCTATCCAGCGTCTTAATGTAGTTATTTGCTATTTTTTGCTATTTCTCGCCTATGGTGACCCCATGTGTGCAGAGTAGAACTGCTCCATTGGGTTTTTAAGACAGTGAGTGACTTTTCTCAGGACAATTACATTGCTTCTCTTCCAATGCACTTGTGGGTGGGTTTGAACTGCCTACCTTTTGGCTAGTAGTCAGTGCTCAGCCTGTGTGCCACCCAGTATAATGTAGTACTAGAGTTTCAAAATCAGCTGTTTATTTGCTTTTGAATGGTAGGTCTTAAAAATAATGCCTAATTCATCAAAGAACAAAAAATCAAATCATTGTGAATGGGGGGGGGAGTACAGATTGGGGACCCAAGCCCCATCTGTAGGCAACTGGACATCCCCTTACAGAAGGGTCGTGGGGAAGGGACGAGCCAGTCAGGGTGCAGTGTAGCAACGATGAAACATACAACTTTGCTCTACTTCCTAAATGCTTCCTCCCTTCTCACTATCCCAATTCTACCTTACAAATGTGGCTAGACCAGAGGATGTACACTGATACAGATAGGAACTGGAAACACAGGGAATCCAGGACAGATGATCCCTTCAGGACCAGTGGTGAGAGTGGTGATACCGGGAGGGTGAAGGGAGAATGGGGTGGAAAGGGGGAACCGATGACAAGGATCTACATGTAACCTTACTTGGGGACAGACAACAGAAAAGTGGGTGAAGGGAGACGTTGAACAGTGTAAGATATGACAAAATAATAATAATTTATAAATTATCAAGGGTTCCTGAGGGGGGGAGGGGAAAGCGAGGGGGAAAAATGAGCTGATACCAAGGGCTCAAGCAGAAAGCAAATGTTTTGAGAATGATGAGGGCAACAAATGCACAAATGTGTTTGACACAATGGATGCATGGATGGATTGTGATAAGAGTTGTACAAGCCCCCAATAAAACAATTAAAAAATAATAATGCCTAATTTTGAGTATTTTGGTGTGAAGTAGAAATACAACTTTTTTTTTTCTCCAGTAATGAAGAAAAATGCTACTCTTCTATCTCCCATCTCATAGCAAGTAAAGATGCTTCCTTTTTCTACCTTCATCCTTTTCTCTCCACTAACCTTCTTTCCACTGGGACCTTGTTTTGAAATTACGCTATCTTTTTGAAGGAATATTTTGACCCACTAAGCATTTGAAAGAAATTCAGTAGTTTATACAACTGATTTTTGAAGGAAATGTTAAAATAGAAGAGATGACAGAATGCTATGCACACACACCCATGCCACTTAAAACGACTTACTCAAGTTTTAAAAGCAGAATGAAAAGTGCCACCTTCGAAAGCAAAATGAAAGAAAATGGCTGGGTTTTTTTTTTAGCAATAGTTATATTTAGATTGATGAGGTTCTAGATTTTTTTAGTTCTAATATCCTACCTGGAACCTTTGTGATCAGAAATGAATTCTACATTATTGAAAAGGGAAGAAGGAAATGTGATTGTATACCAACCATGTTCAAAGTCTGCCTGGTGGTGCAGTAGTTAAGCACTTGGCTGAAGTGAAAGGTTTGTGGTTTGAACCCACCAGCTGCTCTGCAGGAGAATGCTATGCCAGTCTGCTTCCGTCAGATTACCCCCAGGGAGACACGAGGGCATTCCACTCTGTCTTATAGGATAGCTGTGAGTTGGAATGGATTCAATGGCAGCCAGTTTGCCAGAATTCAAAGGAATTGATGCTTGTTAAAGTTGCACGTTGGGTTGCGATCCAGCGATCCGCATAGCCTGTAGGTCAAAATCACCAGCAGCTCCTCAGGAGAAAGACTGGGCTTTCTGTTCCCATAAACAGTTACCGTCTTGATAATCCACAGGGGGCACTGAGTCAGCATCGACTCGATGGCAGTGTGAACTGTCAGAGTGTTAGCACTGTTGACTTTCAGGATAGTCATGTGAGGTGTGTATTATTTGTACTTCACAGATAGAGGAGGGTATGCAGTAAGATAAGTTAGTTACCCAGCGTCCCACAGCAAGTAAATTATGCAGCCATTTTTCTCTTAGGTCTTCAAATCATGGTTTTTTTCATTGTACCCAGGTGTCTCTCAAGAAGTTCATGACATAATACAAAAAGCAGCTGTGCAAAAAATAATTGCCCTAAAATTGATGAGTGCTGTCATTAAAGTATTTGTCAGGTGTCACCTTGGTACAAGGAAGGGCCATCCACAGGTCTTGCGGAAAGATAGAAAGGCTTCACAGCGTGAGCGACACTTGAACTTGTAGACTCAGCATGAGTTGGTCATGAGACCGGCACAGTGGGGGAGGGGCTGTCAAGAAGAGGAACCAACATTTGCACAGGTAGCAAGATAGAGAACAGAGAGCATGTTTCAGGAACCGTAAGTAGGTTTGTGTGAGTGGACTGGGGGCAGAGGGAGATGAGCCTGCCTCTCTTCATGGGAGGCACATCGTAGATAGCATTGCACATCAAGAGAAGGAAAGTGGACCTCACCTTGACGGACAGCTTTGAAACCTTTCACTGATGTACACTCCATGTTGAGAATGAACACACATAGGGCACGAAGCAGGCAGTTTTTTACTGTTTATTTTTGGGGGGGGCTCTTAAAAAGAATACTTACAGTATTCATGTTTCAGAAGGTACATAGAAATGTGTATAATTAAGATAGCTTAATTATTTACAAAATTAAAACACTTTTAAAAAGATAATAAATATTAACTCCAATTTTCAATTGTGACTCTTTATTTTTCCAGTGTGAGATTCTTCTCTCTAAGCTCCTAACTGACTTTCCCACTCCAATATTTTATGATGTGTACCTTGCATATACTGATGAAAACCAACAACAGTATATCTGGGCTGTGCCTGTATTAAACCTCAATCTTCAGCACAATAAATTGTTTGTGAACCAAGGTAAGATGTCCATACTCTTCTTCTGAGCTTCAACCAGTAAAGCCATCGAGTTAATGCTAACTCAGAGCAACTCTGCAGGACAGTGCCGAACCGTGTCTCGGGGCTCCCAAGGCTGTAAATCATGACAGGACAAGCCTCTCTCTCCCTTGGAGCAGCTGACAGGTTTGAACTGCTGACGTGGTGACTAGCAGCCCCGCACACTACCCGCCAAGGGCTCCTGAACCAGTAGATATGTCAGCTCATCATGATAATTTAATCAACCATGAATTATGACAGTCATAGATTCTTTCTGATGTGGTCTTATACAGCATTCCCCCAAATAAAACAATACAATTGCTGGTGTCTTTAGAAATTTTTACTAAATATATAAGGAATGTTTTAAGAAAGTAAGGTATTTTTAAGACCATATTCTGAAAAAACTTGGGGCGGCTGCTTCAAGCTGCCCTTTCTGGACACATTCACTTCTTTTTTTAATTTTCTATATTATAAAATTCTGCATATTCAGTTAACTTTCAAGGAAAATTCTTCCAAATGATGTGGAGTCCAAACAACTAGAAGGCATTCTTGTGACGTGGGAAAACCACTAACAGAAATGCCTTACAGCAGTAGCTCGTTTTGCAGCCATCTTACCCCCAAATCTGTCAACCTTGTGTTTTGAGTTTGTTCAGTAAACTACTTGCCATCCTGAACAATTTGAGGCTGTGTTTGTTTTTATAAAACAGCTTTCTTTTTTTGTTGTTGTTTATTTTTAAAAAATCATTTTATTAGGGGCTCATACAACTCTTATAACAGTCCATACATACATCAATTGTGTAAAGCACATTTGTACATATGTTTTCATACTCATTTCCTAAACATTTTCTACTTGAACCTGTGGTATAATCTCTT